ATATGCCCTCGGCATTGGGAGGGTGCTTTTCCAGGCTCCCCCCCCCTCTCATTCACTAAAGGGTTAATGTAGAATGGAAATTAACACACCACAATTTTAGAAAAAATCTTTAAATTGAAAAAAAAAAGTTCTTTGATAAAAAAAAAAAAATCCCAAACATGGATTCACCGACGTAATCCAAAGGTCAATCACACTGTCACCGACGCGTCAAAAAAAAAAACCTGCCGACCCATCTGCACCCAATGAACTGCTGCCGCAAACTGACCAGTTTGTACGTTTTTCCAGGGTGGCAGCATAATGTCTCCAGGATCTCAGGAGAGCTGTGCAGGACCTCATCAGCACTGAGTGGGGGACCTCAAGCAGCCACTTCCATTTAAACATTTAAAGGGCATCAGTGCATCCCTATCAGGCAGGTACAGGTTCTTTGTGGCCACAAATGAAAAGAGAGAGAAAGCCTTGGCTCTTCTGTAAATTGACTATCAGAGTCGGTGCCTACAGGGGACATAAACATGAACTTTGCTTTTGTAGGGATACTTTATTAAAAAAAAATAAAAAAAATTGCCCAGATAGTCAATTTAAAAGTTGTGGTCAGAAAACTATTTTCTGCATTAACGAATGGAAATCAGGTCACTGTTTCTGTTCTGTTTTACATGGATTGCCATCTAGTGATGATATGTGTGCAGTGCAAGTGTATCCGACTGAAACAGATCCAAGAACAATAATTATTCAATAAAGAAATCAGCAAACCATGAGAAGTATTGGCAGAAATGTCTGGGCAGGATCCAGATTTACAATAATGCTGTTTTATGTTCTTGCTTTGTCATTATCATGATTGCTGCAGAAAATACTAGAACAAAACAAATGTGAATCCTCAGTTCACTATTTATCAAACGGTATGTGGATCATGAACACAAAACAGAGCATTTCCTGAGTTCTAATTGTTGCTAATGGACTTCTGGACTAGATGAAAGTGTTTTCCATAGCAGAAAACAGGATATTTGGTGTTATTTCCTACACTGCGCCAGAAAAAAAGAGCTGGAATTCAGGGAGCTCTTTGGTTATAGTGGACTGTACCCCCATTTTTGTAAACCAGCCTCTAACCAAGAGTATCTTTTAAAATAGAATATTATGGGGAATGTAGTTTGTCTAAAAGCAATGCCAAAGTTTACATGTCCAACTCTCAGCAATTCTATGGGCCAGTTTTATGTGCACCATGTCTTATACTGGATACTTGAGGGTTTTTATTTACAGAAGTGTCTTGGCAAATGTTTTATGAGAGATGTCACCAGGTCTTTCTTCAACCCCCAGTTACACAGGCTTTGGGGCCCACATCCTAAATGTGATAGCAAATTTGTACACACCACTAGGACCAATTTAGACAGGAGCCAATCAACCTACTAGCATGTCTAGGGTGTCCCTTACCCCATGGATTAGAGACCACTAGAGGTCAGGTGGTCTGCATTTTACATCAGGGATGGATTCTTGACTTGCAGTGAAGACATGACAGATGGGTGCCAGTCACTTTTGATCAGTTAATTGAGTTTATGCAGGCCAATAAACTACAGGGAGAGAATGTTAGGGCAAAGGACACCAGCAAGAACAATACGCATTCTACGAAAAACCCACTTACAGCTGATACAGTAAATGGATCATTAAGCCAGACTGGCACTCTTGACTGTAAAGCACTTAACTCACTAGATAAGCCACCAGACCTCCTGCGCGGTCCAAGCTTGTGCTCAGCTTCTCCGGACACTTCTCTTGCAGCAGATATTTACCCCCAGTGTTCCTATCCAGATTCCTCCCAGGCAACACTTCTGGGCAGGCAGTGCAAGCCTTAGGCCCCAGCTTTCTTTCACAAAGGTTTTATTTGGGTTTTATAATTTTTGTTTTCACATAAAGGTTACAATCAATAAGAGAACAGAAATAGGGCATGCAAGCCCCGCAACAAGGAACACAAATTGAAAGTATGCAGTCATAACATTGTGCAGCGCCCTGCAAACTGTAAAACTAATCAACGAAACAAGTGTCAAAGATCATTATAGGCGTATAAAGAGAGGCCCCAGATTTGAGCCTACCTTTCACAGGCACATGTGTCCTCTCCAGCCAGTAGACCTGGGAGGTCAGAACCAGAGGCACACATCTGGCAGAACCAGGGAGGCAAGAGAGCTTCCAGAACGTCACCCGGACATTTATACCCTTCCCCAGCATGCACCACTGTCAATAAGCCTCCTAGTGGTTGGCCAGGAAAATATTTAAAAATTCAGACCTCAGGCCATTGGACCCTCCGACACTATTACCATGGACACTCCCCAGCAACAGGCAGAAGTAAGCAATAACCTGAAGTGTGGGGAAGTCTGCAGAAAGCAGAACTGTCAACTTCAGGCCGAGGCTGACTACACCCCAGCAGTACTAAATTTAGAATAGGGACACCACTGCTTATGGCAGTGTCCCTACAGATGCAAACTCCATGCAGATAGTATCCAGGCTTAGATTAGAAACAAGAACCCCAATGCTGCAAGGCAGCAGTGCTAGCCACCGTGCCGGCCCATATTACAATACAATTTGTTTGAGTGGAAAGGTCTCTATTGTATCCGTCAGACTTGTATTGTTGTCTCCATCAGGATATTTCCCCTTATATCCTCTCCCAGTGAAGTGACAGGAGTTAAGAAAATCTCCAACAAAAAAACCAACAAAAGTCCTCCACTCTACCATCAAAGGTGCCTTTACTTCTTCCTCCTTCTTCACCGGAAAATTTCTCCTTACTTCCTTTCCCAGTGACACAAAAGTAAGTGGAAAACTTTTCAAACAGCAATAAAAACCTAGCAAAGGTCTAGCTGGAATTCTATGTTAAAGCTGCACTCCGGGTGTGTATTGAAAAAAAAAACATGTTTATTGCCAGGTATTGCCCTCTTTTTGTGCATCTCAGATAGGTGAAAAATAACAAAATGAGTTTTCTCATGATGTGTCATGTACAGAAATATATGTGAAGTATTCCTCCAAACCATATATGATCCAAAGGCATGGGGCCTGTATCAAAGGAAGGGACTGTTCATACTGCGCCTCCCATGAAAACCACAGAAATGTCTATCAATAAAAATGACACAAAAATCATTTCTGGAACACACAAACCCAACAAACCATAAAACAACATTTTAATAAAATAAAAATGACAAATAGGTGTAAATTTTAAAATGTGCGTATACCAATGCATCTTACTAAGAGGACTGAGCACTTCCTGTTGTGCCCTGCACATCATCTGGACTGAGTGAATGGTAGGCACAACTTCAGCCAGCCGTATACCTATGCATCCTAGGAGGACTGAACACTTCCTGTAATGCCCTGCACATCATCATTTGGACTGAGAGAATGATAGGCACAACTTAAGCCAGCCAGGCTCTAGTACATTGCACAGTCATATCCATCTAACACTGTGAGCTTCCTGACAGGAGAGAGCAAACTGGTGACCTTTTCAGTGTTCTGCTGCTTCTTTACTGTCTAATAAGTTGGGGCAGGTCTTTAGATGTGGACTTAGTTTAGTCTGCAGGGAGGGCTCATGTAGGACCTTGCTGTGCTGTTTGGCAGGGGTACCCAAATTACAAGACCTGCAGATTTACATATTTTTGTCAGATTAGAGAGAGAGAGAGAGAGGTCACTCATTAACATGCGTTGCAATAAGGCAGCACATTCACCATCATGTAATCAAATATTGCTCCTGCATCCAGTTTGGCTAGCACAACACATGGCGATGGTATGGCAGTTTTCATTCATTGTGGTGCACTGGGAATTGCTGAGAGTCATTGATAACACTGCTTAGAAGGTGGCTGTATTTGTGGACCAAACACCCATGCCATCGTCTAAATCCTGCAAGAATACTCTCCAGCAGCACATAGTAGCAGAGTATATTCCTGTGTGACTTTGAGTTCACAGATTCCCCAGGAGGCAGCAGTGAGACATCACCAGCACCTTCAGGAAGACATGATCCAAGGTATTGTGCCCTTTTTTATGTTATTGGGTCCACTCACACAAGATGCATTGAGGCTGTGCTGGACACTTTTTTGCAGCACAGCCCCAATGCTAGACAATGCAAGTTGCCTTGTTTCGAATAGGCTCACACCAAAGCAACATGGTGACGTGGGCTGAAACAAAGTGCTGCATGCACCATGCTCTGCCCATAGAACCTAATGAAATGTAATTCCTGACATTTCAATAAAGTTCTAACAAAAAAAAAGAGGAAACAGTCTCATTAGCACTCTTTCTGGCAACACACACTAGCGGCCATGCATTGTATCGCAGCTGCTGGTGTGAATTGGCCCTTAAAGGAGAACTATGGGGGTTAAGCCTTTTCCCCATAGTTCTCCTTAGGGTAACGGGAGGACACAAACTAGCGTCCTCCCGTCACCCTAGGCTCAGTATACCGTGAGCTGTAGCTCGCGGTATACTGAGACGCCGCAGTATACCGCGAGCAGCTGCTCGTGGTGTACTGAGACTCCGCAGCTGAAGCGGATCCCGACAATTGTGCCGGGATCCGCCCAGCTGCGTGGCTGACAGCTGGCTCTGCCTATCTAAAGGCATAGCCAGCTGTACCCGCCCCCTCCCCCGACCGTTCCACCAGTCAGAGAGCTGTGACAGGATCGAGAGGTGAGCGATCGCCGGTATGTGTTCGCTCACCTCCCGATCTACTGAGCCGACCTGTGACAGTCTCATTGTCACAGGTCGGCTAGAACTATGAGGTGAGTGAAAATCACTCACCTCATAGTTCTCCTTTAAGTTTTGTATTATCAAGCATGGTCCACTTTAACATATGAGATGTACATCATTTAGTAGCAACGAGAATGTCTACATTTATACAGCCGGGAGAATTGTTCCTGAGCACGCTCCAAATCCAACTCGATACCCATCTCCTTGGCAGTGACCTGTAGAAAGAAAACAAGCTTTACTATTAAAGAAACAGCTTGATGAATGGAGGAAGGTCTCATTCATCTCTGTGGTAAAGAGAAGTTATTATTCATAAACAAAGCACTGGCTCTTGGTGCTGATCCTTCCTCTCTCAGTCTGAGCATGTATGTGTGAAGCATTTTACCTATTAGGCCCTTTTCACACGGACAGGCCGTTCAGATCCGCCTGTCAGTTTTTCAGGCAGGCCTGATTGGAAGCCCAGTGTAACTCTATGGCCGTGCATCCCTTTACATCTTATTATCCCTCCGACTCCATCTAGGTTTGGGGAAAAGAAATTGAGCAGAATTCCGTTTTGGTGGACCTGATCGCGACAGATTGGAACTAATCAGATGTAAAGGGACACATGTCCACTTACATCTAACTCCCCATAGACCTAACATGGGTCCTCAAGTGCGAAAAACCGAATGGACACAGATGACATCCATTTCATACTGCTCTGATCAACAGGGGATCTGCGCATGGATCCCCTGCTGAATAGAATGGATGCCAGCCATGTGAAATGGACCTAATTAGTAGTTTTAAAAATCTGCCAAGGGGTGAGCTTTAAGCTCTTTAGAGTGTGTACATGGTATACACTGTGCAGAATTTGTATTAAATCACTCCAAAATCATATGAAATAGGAGTCTCCTGATAACTCTGTATCTGTAATACGAGTTTGGGGGGAGTAGGTGATTGCTTGCTTAATCTCTGTTAGTTGTAATATAATCCAGGTATTGTTCTAATTTGCTCAGCATTGTTGTAGTGTCCATTTCTATTTTGCTGCTCGAGAATCATAGAGCTCTAGGCGAAACCAGAACTACCCATAAAAGAGTGAACCTCTACAGTACCTGTTATAATAACAGTGTCTCCATCCCTCAAGAACGTCCGAGTATGACCATTTCCAAGATCAATTGCCTTAGAGCCTCTCCATGACAGTTCCAGCATTGAGCCAAAGCTTGATGGGTCCTATCAGACAAATAATGGTGTCAGATGAGAGGAGCATAGCCAGATATTCCATTAGTCAATTAAGTTATTTGTCTCTTTCAAGTAAAAAAATGTAATCCGCAACCAATAAATTGCATGACAAGCAACCGATAAAGCATGGGCATGGCAAGCCAACAGTTTTACTTTGCTTCTATGGCAGAGCACAATCATATATAACTCCTGCATAATAATAACACCTAATGATAGTACAAGTAGAACAGAAGACTGTATGTAACATGACTAAGGGGTTCATTTATGAAAGTTCTGCCTCCCCGCCCTCATTCCCAGTGGCTCTCCACCGCTGGCTCACACCGCTGTACCGCTGGTGTGTTGGCGCTTCCTACCCTCTTCCACAATAGCGGCTCATACAGCCACTGGGCTCCTAATTTTTCCCCCGGCAACAGCTTCCTCCTGCTACTCCTATTCCACCAGAGGGTGGAATCTATTCTGAAAGGACAGTAGGTCTCCTCCATCCAGGCCTACACCTCCTCCAACCCTCTGCCATAGCTGCAGCTCCTGATATAATAGGGTGGCTCTGATGTGAAGGGGGGTTTCTGATGTGAAGGGGGCTCCTAATGTAAAAGGGGCTCTGATGTAAAAGGAGAGGGCTCCTGATTTGAAGGGAGACACCTGATATGAAGGGGGACACCTGATTATGAAGAGGGACTCTGATGTGAAAGGGGGAGCACCATCTTTGTTTTGTTTTTTGCATGGGGTTACATAGTTAGTTAGGTTGAAAAAAGACATAAGTCCATCAAATTCAACCTATAGAGATAAGAGGAAGAAAAAAAAAAAGAAGAAAAACCTAAAACAGAACGCTATGCCCCCCAGTTACCCACTGTTGATCCAAAGGAAGGCAAAAAGAAACCCTATTAAGCATAGTTCAATTTGCTCCAACAGGAGGAAAAAATTCCTTCCTGGTCCCATAAGGCAATCGGATATTCCCTGGATCAACAATCTCTGGTGCCTAATATACCTGTTTTTCCAAGTGTTCCCTTAAAATACATACCAGATCCCTATCTGAGATAAGGATCTGGTATGGATCTTTGCATCAATGTTTTTACATTTTAGACTGGGGTGAATTGAGATTCTACATACTTTTAACCTGTTGCCGTCCGCCCGTTGCATAAAAACGGACGGACGGCGGACTCGTATTTGTGGGTTGCCGTTTTCAGACGGCATTTTTTTTCTGCTCACGCGCGCACGGGCAGAGAAAGCCCGTTCAATGCAAAGAACCGTTACCGGCTGTTTCACATACACACACGATCGGCGGCTCTATAGCCTACCGATCGCGTGTATGTGCTGGCTGCGTGACCCCCCTCGCCCCCCTTGAGTGCCGCCGCCCCCCCTCCTGACCCCTCACCTTCAATCCGGGGATCCGCTGCCCCATTTGCGTCACGGGACCGGCTCGGGAGGGCGTCAGGAGGTAAGATGGGAGGGAGGTCAGCATCTTCCTCCTTGCTGATATCCCTCTGTGCTGTGAATGCAGAAGTGATGTGTATTACATCACTTCCGCATTCACCTGTCAGTCATCTGGCTGCTATAGCCAGAGAGAAGAAGCTGGTGAAGCAGATCTCTGCTTCATCAGCTTCTTTTGGGGTCCCCAGGTGACATTAGGGGTCTTACAGATCCCTAATGTCTCCATAAAGAGGACCTGTCAGTGTGCCTTTGCTATTATATAGGGGGATTGTTATCCCCTTATGTAATAGCAATAACAATAAGTGTAAAAAAAACATAAAAAGAGTAAAAAAATAAATAAAAGTCACATAAAAAAAGTTTTAAAAAAACCCCCAAATTGTTAAGTCCCCCACCCCCACATTTACGCACATATAAATGTAAATACGCTTTCGCGGCGCTAGCATGCGAAAACGACAATTGCGCTACACATGTTACATATCGTTGCGAACGTCGGAAAAAAATGGTATAAAATATATTTCAGTACAGCGTTGCATGACGGAATAAACGTCAATCAAAGTACCGCAGCGCTGAACACTGAAAAATGGCCTGGATAGGAAGGGGGTTTAACACCGCGGACTTGAAGTGGTTAAAGGGTGCCATGACTGAAAAAAGGTTGAGAAACGCTGCACTAAAGTAATATGAATGATGCTCGGTTCTCTTTAATAACTGATGTCGTGATTATAAATTACTATATTTAGATAATATGGTTCAGGGTTACCGGTCCACTTATGGTTCCTGATGCCAAAAGATCTCCAGGACGAACATTGCAGCCAGTTACTGTGTGATGGGCCAGCTGCTGCTTCATAGTCCAATACATGTACTACAAGACAAGGAATGTATTGTTACAGATAGGATACAAGGAATGGAAACTCTACTGGAGACTTGTCCATAGGTGACTTACCTTAAAATTAGATCTGCAGATAGCCACCGGCTCTCTCATGCAATCTCCTGGTTGGAATGATGAAAGAAATGGTTATTATCATAACTTTTATGCTATTTCTATAGAGGGTTAGTAGATTAGCTGACTTTGTACAATATCTGAAAACTCAGGGAGGTAATTTTGCTCACCAGTGTTCACCCATAACAAAAATATCATACATGCATGTACTGTCCAAATACAAACCAAAACAACAAGGTAAAGAAGATATTACTTGTGATATGGTAAAGCTGAACTCTGGGCTGGAAGAAAATAATAACCCTTGCATTGCCCCCCATCATACTGCAAGGGTTAATTGCTTGTTAACTCTAGGGGCTGGAGGAATTGAGGCTTACAACCAAAGAGACACTAAACTCAGGAGTTAAATCTTAAAAATCCATTCAAGTACCTTGGCCTTGTTCACACCAAGCGCTTTCCAGGAGCAGAGCAGAGCAGTTACAGACCGGAGCAAAACTGCGTCCAATGTATTCCAATGGTATTTTTAGCTTCAGGTTACATTGCAGCGTTCCGTTCCAGAGCAGGTAAAAAAACTGCAGCAGGCCCTATTTTACCTGCTCTGGACCTGCTCTGGAACGCATGCAAACGCATCGAAAATGCATGCAAATGCTCTTGAACGCACTGAAAGCCCATTTTAAACTAAAAAAACGCATCAAAAACGCGGCAAAACCCACTGCACTGCGTATGCAGAAACTCATGCATTTGGTCTGCTCTGCTCTGCATTTGGTGTGAACAAGGCCTAACTATTAACAGAAATGTGTCTTATTTGTGTATCACTCGGCTGTAGATCCTCATATCATCTCTGAATTGGTGCCGACACTGTCCTTCCTTCTGGGGGGTGGCTACTTGTGTTCCCCATGGTCCCTGTGTGTGTGGTAAAGAAGCCACCGCTTCTTCTGTAAGGTGCAGTTATTTACTGGCCAAATCACCACTGTAAAGTAGCGACCGCTCCCAGCTCGCTCCCTCCCCTCTACGTGCTCAGCATTTTTATTTTAGCCCCTTAGTGACACAGCTTCAGAAAAAAAGTTTTTGTTCCTGGGGACCGGAGCAATTTTGCCATTTTTCTATGTGTTTGTTTAACCATAATTTCCATCTTCCTCATTCATTTGATGTTTAACCATAATTTCCATCTTCCTCGTTCATTTGATGTTTAACCATAATTTCCATCTTCCTCGTTCATTTGATGTTTAACCATAATTTCCATCTTCCGTTTTAATTTGATGTGACATGTACATATATAAATTCTTATGTTGTTATAAAAAAAATGCAAAAACAAAAACAAAACACATTTTTCACAGTTTTGGCAAAAATAATGTGTACATAATTAGTGTAGCTAACAGAAAGTAATTCCTAATAAAAATCTTTTATGATTATATTATATGTCTGGGATTTCAGTTTATCTTAAGAGTTATAGGTTACAAATTACAAGGAGTGAAATACAATTTTAGTGTGGAACAATTTTAGAATGTGGTATGTTTGCCTCCTAACTTTAGTAGCCTCCTCGGCACTATATTTTCTTATTAAACACATTTGTAAAGCTTTTCAAAAACCATTTCTTAAATCAATTTCCTTCTGGTCTCAGCATTTTACTGATTTAGTTGCCACAGGCTACAAGTTACATTTGTTTTCTGTACTATGCTATTAAATCTGCAAAGCATTTTCATGTGAACAGAAAATGCTGCAATATAGACGCAGACAACTCAGCGTGGTCCTTTAAATTCTTACTTTCAACCTCCACAATGATCAATAACACACAATCATTAGTCAATGTAATTTACCTTGAAGGCTGACAGACAAGTTAATATTGAATGTGTAATCACTCTTATCCTGGAGATACGGCAAAGGCACGGGATCCTGCATGGGACAGAAATCAATGAGAGGTGAGCAATGGATGGAGAACATTCCTTGCCTGACAAGATGTCTTCTCTCACAAAACAGAAGTTCCCTGCCATACTAGAAATCCCAATGATGTGTCATATAGTAAATAAAAGGACACTCTATGGTGGGCTCTGCAGGGTCACTCTCCGGTGGACTGTGTGGGATCTCAGGTGGGCTCTGCACGGGGCGTAACTAGAAATCACAGGGCCCCATACAACATTTTGCTATGGGGCTCTGTGATTTCTAGTTATGCCCCTGAGTAAGAAGCATTGGCTTGGCTGTCCTAGAGGTGTAAATGTAGTGCCCTATTAACTGCTACTAACCCTGTATTATTATTATTATTATTATTATAATACAGGATTTCTTTAGCACCAACAGTTTGTGCAGCGCTTTACAATATAAGGAAGACATTACAATCACAATACAATTCAAGAAAAGATGGTAAGGAGGGCCCTGCCCATGAGGGCTTACAATCTAAAAGGGAAGGTCAAGTGATACATGAGGAGGTAGCTGTGTGGGGATGAATTGTTTGAGAAAGTGATTGTTCAGTGGTTAGGTTGAGGTGGGATAGGCTTTCCTGAAGAGATGAGTCTTAAGGGATCGCCTAAAGGAAGTCAGAGTGGGACATAGACGGACAGGTTGGGGTAGAGAGTTCCATAGGATAGGAGAGACTCTAGTGAAGTCCTGGAGATGAGCATGGGAGGAGTTGATGAGGGAGCTGGAAAGCATGAGGTCTATTGAAGAGTGGAGGGGACGGGTAGGGTGATACTTTGAGACAAGGTTGGAGATATTGCCGGGGGCAGAGTTGTGGATGGCTTTGTAAGCGGTTGTTAACATTTTGAATTTTATTCTTTGGGCTATTGGAAGCCAGTGTAGGCATTGACAGAGGGGGTTGCAGACACTGAGCGGCTATTGTAGTCAAACATCTCCCCAGCTAAAACCTTATAAGATAGCTGGGGTTTGTAGTTCTACAAAAAAAGTTTAAAGAAGCTAGCGTTTAACCACTTCAGCTCCTGTTCCTGTATGCCCCTTATGTACCAGAGTAATGTTCATGTTTTCACTATGACCCTGTTCATTCAGAGATAGTTTTTGTACCTCTCTTAAATACATACAGTGGTTTTTGGGGGACCAACTAAGATTTTGTTTTGGTAATATTGTCTTGCAAAAACTATTTTATCTTCTATGTAATCTATAGACAAAAAGGCATAAACATAATAGAGGTTTTAGTTTAGTTAAAAAAGGCTTTTTCTAAAACTTTGTACATTTTCTTTTTATGTGATATTGAAAAAATTAACATACAAAACAAATGAAAACAATCAAAAAAAATTTATAAATATTAAAGTGCAAGTAAATCTCCTCTGGCTCTTTTCTGAGGAAGATTGTGAACAGGCATCTAAGTTTGTTTTATTGCAGAAGAAACAAAGCATACATCTTCTGCAATAAAGAGCCAGCCTGATCACAGATATATTATTTTTTTTTGGTTTACTACTGCTTTAATGGTAAAAAAAAATAGAAATTAAAACAAAAATCAGCAGACATATATAAGCGCGGAGGAGAAATTATTTAATTAGGGCTGATTAGGGTTAACTGTGGGTTGAAAAAGTGCTACAAACATCAGCTTTAAAGCAGAACTCCGGGCACAAATTTTATTAACGTTTGCAGTGGGGCTACCCACTCAGTGCAAGGGTTAACTGCTCATTTGTGTCATGTGACAGCACTCCCACCAGCCTATCTCCTACTACGCTGCGGCGATGATATATCCCTCTGCATCTTCACGTCTTATACACTGTGCATAGAACGTGATGACTCAGGGACCTTAGACCACTGCAGCAGAGGAGGAGAGAGACTCCAGGGACTAGTCCAAGAGCCAGTGGGCTCCAAGGATCAAGTGAGTATAACTTACCTCAGTGGTGTCACATGGGTGTCACCATTGCAGGGGTGACACCAAAATGACTGAGTCATTTTGGTGTCACCCTCCTCTAAAAATGTGGGCACTCGGTCATGGACTGAGAGCCCGACAGTATCAGGAGAGAGGAGGGGACCCGGCGGCATACCTCATCCAGCTGGGTGAAAGTCCCCTCCTCTCTCTGCCGACATCCATCACCAAGATGGCCGCCGGCAGGTAGGCATCAATCAGATGGTCGTACATGCGCGATGACATAATCGCGCATGCACGATGACGACACCGCGAGGTGGCGACACTGACGCCCCTGACGTACCTAGAAAAAAAGCAGTTAACCCTTGCGCTAGAGGGTAGCTCCACTGCAAGGGTTAATAAAATGTGTGCCCGGTGTTCTTCTTTAAACAGGAAGTTAGGGGAACCTCCCGGAGACACAAATAGTAACAAAATGTAAATAAAATCTCACTGGAACAGGAAGTTAGAAGAATGCCTCAAAAACGCAGAGAGTAATAAAACTGTGACAGTGATTCAAAATCTTTCCCACCATAATAAAGTGTTTTCATTGCTGTGTGTGTCCCTATTGTAGAGCTCTCCTGTCTATCTATACTGCATTTTAAAAGGGAAAATACTGGCTAAGGACAGAAACCATAGATTGTTTTATTAATGGAATAGCAGTTGGAAGGGCTTAACCATAAAGTCACATGGTGTGTTCCACATGGAAGTCCATTTCCCATCGGAGAAATAATATTGTATACTGTGTATTGTGTAATATTATGTGTCTTGTAGACTGTGTATAAAAAGCAGATAAAGCAAGCACACACTACGTATATTACATTTCATTTAAATCCCCATATGGGCATATCAAAAGACAATGAACAAAATCCTATTATTGTTAACATATATTTCATGCCCCTAGAGAACTCTGCTGCTTGTCTAGTTCTAGTCACCTGGATTGGATTGGGAAGCACAAACGGCATCAGGGCCTCCATTGGCACCACCCATGGAGATATTGTGGTGCCAAAGTTCTTACTCAAAAAAGGTCCAAGTGGAACATATTCCCATTTCTGGATGTCTCTAGCTAAGAGGAAAAATACAGTGTTACAGGCAGTTGAAAATGTGCATATTAAATACACGGTAGAAATGAACATTTCTTTAGATGACTTCTGTAGGAACATCATCTAATGTGCCCTTTCTGGTGTCCCACACCATTGTACACCACTGTCATGACCACCAGGCTCAACTGGTATTGGCAGCAGTAAACTATGCATACAACAGGGACACCCAGGAACAGTCCAAGCAGATTTGTTCTGCACTTTTAATTATCAAGACAGCAAACACACACAGTTTAAATCTAGGAAGTCTTTGTACATCAAGTTCATATGATCAACTATGGGTACAGTGTTCTGTATATGGAGGTTTTAATTTTTATTTATTTTTATATTGGTTGAACTTGATGTACTTGTGTCTTTTTTTCAACCTGACTATATTACCATGTAAATACAAACAAAAATCTGCTCATTAAGCTACTAATTAGTTGCCCCTAATTGGTTTGCTAAAGTAAACAGGCACCATTTTTGGTACCTTAGTACCTTCTTAGTGTTCTGTCAGCACTCAGCCTTTTCACCCAGTAGCAATGAGAGAGAGAGGGAAGACTGAGCATCAGTCAAAGGCCTGTGGATAGCTGAGACAAATAATGAGATCTGACTACCAGACTTCATCCCACCCAATGGCCACAAAGCTTCTGGGCTCCAGGACCCAGAGTGGAACTTATTGCTATTCAGAGACAGCAAATGAAATGTAAAAGCTGACATCACTGGTTGCCACGAGCTGGGCAGGATGCCAGGGGAGCAATTTGTTGTAGATACGCCTCTGGTCAGAAAGTTTTACTGGCAGATGTGATCTATGAGAAGTATTGTAGTACTGAGCAGATAAGACAATGCTAATGCTACAGGAGAGGAGATATTAAAGATCAGTGCTGTTTATCACAGCTAATACCGTCACTTGAAGAGTGAGTGTCCTTGAAAAGAGACCCTTGTGGTATATTCGAGAGAAAATCCTTTGTCATCTTTGATACAGGAAATAATACATGTTTAATAAATCTGTGCAATTAATAAAGCTCCTGACAGTCTTACCACTCCAATCGTTCATTAGTACCATGCCAAAAATATGCTCCTCAGCTTTCTGAATGGGAATTGGTTCTCCTAAATTGTTTCCTGGGCCTACGAAGAAAGCCTGGTAAAATAAAAAGACAGAGGATTTTGTTTTTTTTCATGTACAGAACTGAAATCTGTTTATCCCTAGCAAGGAACTTCTCATTTTTTACCTCCTTCTGTTATGTCAAGAAGTGTTAATATCCCTGTCCATATCACCTCTGTGAACTACAGAACAACCCTATGTTTTAAAGATGGAGAGGGGGTAATATGAAGTCCCAATACACTTCCTGTTCTAGGATGATAACACTACTCCTTCAAAGATACAGTACAGTGATTGAATGTTGTCACCCTAGAACAGGTAGTATGCTACTGGCAGTATCGCCAGGTGAAGAAGAAGGGAAAAGGGTCTGTAAATGACAAATGCAGCCACCACATCTATAAACTGATAAGCTCCTATATGTTATATTGTTGTTCATGGGTTTAGATACGCTTTAAGATTTTATTTAAGGCTTAGCCTAAGTTGTGCAATATTTTTATGAGTGGGGCTGTTTATATCCCTCTTCATGATTACTTCTGGGTGATTCAAATTCCCCCAAACTAATATTAGCCTTAAAGCATATTTCCACTTATGCAGCCAAATTTGGGATAACACCTATTATAAAGTTATTTTCCCATTTACGTTGCACAACTAAAAAAATAATTAAAAATTGCCTCTTCTATTTTTAAGTGCTTTTTACTTGCTTAAAAATCCTACCTAGCTTTGGTTTGTTTACCATGAATAACCCTGCCTGTACTGTGCTGGCAGATCTCATTATCAGTTGGAAACTAGATCTGAACACTGTCTGTCCTAACAAAGGGTTAAAGGATATGACTTAGGATCATTGTACGTAAATGAGAGGAAGCTCAGTCTGTCCCTTAATTTGTCCTTCTACTTTCAAACTGCTCAGAGTAGCCTGGAATCTGCACAAAGGCCTTCACCAAAGACACATCTAAAAGGAAAGAAATATTTAAAACAAATATTTTTCGGGTGTGAATGGGAAGTCATAACAGACAATAGAGGGGTTTCTCAAATTTCACTACAAAAGTGGAAATACACTTTAGGCAAATGATCAGAGGACCACAGACAGGTATAACTCCTAGTTTTGCAATTAAAGAATGTATCTCTTGCACATTTAAAGTTAAAGCGCATTTAATGTCTCCACAATTTGACAAAATGCCAACATTTCTCACCATTTCTAACTCGATATCCAGGAGTTTGCTGGCCTCATATATAGGAGGTTTGTCTGAAATAAGAATTGATTTTTTCTCAGTGAAGGAATACAGGAGCTGTCATTCATGCACAACATGGGTGAGCATAATAATGAACAATAGAGAACACAGAAAATATCTCAACAGAAATTAAACATAATTTACCATCATTTGGCCTAACTTGCCCCTTTGGTCTGCGGATCGGTGTCCCAGATATCACAACAGAAGATGCCCGTCCATGATAGCCAACTGGAAGGTGCAACCTGTGTAAAATAAATAGCTAAGAGCACATGCATAAATCATGTTACATACAAGAATAAGGCAGTAACTGTGGGGTACTGTATGTAGCAGAGGTGTGGGATAATTCAAATAATAAAGGGGTGTATGGAACCCCATGTACAGTAGTAAAGGAACGTGAGGCAGTGGGTATATTAAAGGAGTAAGCACTGTGTATTGATACGTAGATGTTAAGCACTGCATGTAATAGAGACTGCCTGTTATATAGAAGTATGAAGCACTGTGTGCAATATATGGCTTACAGAACTGCGTGTAAAAGAGGTATGAGGCACTGCATAAAATGGGCAAGCATTGTATGAGGCACTGCATGTAAAAGGTAAATAACATTGCATGTAGTGGAGATGTATGAGGCACAGATTATAATGGCACTGCATAAAATACAGGCACAAGCCACTTCTTGTTAGAGAGGCATGAGGCAATGCATGTAATGGAGAGGCATGAGACACTCTGTGCAATACACAGGCTAAAGTCACTTTGTGTAATGCATAAGTACATAAGGTAGTTTGTGTAACAGATGAGCTTGAGTTAATGCCTGTAATGTATGTAATTGGGGAATGTGGCACTACTGAATAGGCCCTAAGTGTAACAAAAAGTCTACAGGCACTGCATGTAATATCCAGGTATAAAGCACTGTGTGTAATACACAAGCATGAGGCTCTGCATAAAATTCACATGGCACCGTGTAATAGAGAAGCTTGATGGAGAGGTTGTAATTCATGTAACAGAGGCATGGAGCACTGAGTGTATTGAAGCATAAGGCTCTGAGTGCAATAGGGGGACTTGAATTACGATCAGGTCCCCGAAACGGAACAGTACTGAACTCTTAACAGGGGGACCTGATTGGTCTAAAAGGGGCCTTACACAGCTGTGAGAACCAACAAGCAACACATCGAAGTAAGGCACTTTGTGTAACAGAGAAGTGTGAGTCACTCCATATGACAAAGAGGTGCAGTTACTTATATTCAGGGGTGTCCCTATTCATTTCGCCACCTGAGGCCGTAGGGGGTTACAGGGGGTGTTGGTAGTGGCTCTGGCCAGCATCCTGCCCAGCTCACTGACATCACTGGTTGCCAGGAGCTGAGTGGGACACCAGTCAGAGAATCCCAGGCTGCCAAGAGCTGGGTGGGGAGATGTGTATGCCCTTACACTAGGCTCTAAGCAACCTGGGACACTCTGGCCAGAAAGAGAGTGGGTGGCCCCCCAAATTGACCCAAAGAGATCCAGCTTGGCTGTCTCATTATAGGGATGGCCTTGCTTATATGTGTCTGGAGGTACATGACATGAGTCGAACTGGGTGTGTGGGGGTCAGTTCCCAGAATGTGTATAACATGCATAATAGATTATTTCCCACCAAGTTTACAATATGCATAATAAATGAGGGCAGAGACAAGCCACAGTTCCCCTATTCTATACACAAAAAGCATCCTCTCTGAGCACCTAACTATAACAACATCCTCAAAGGGTAACCTACACTCACCAGTTTGGCATCAGAGCATTTTCCTTCCCTCTGAACATAATCCCTACATTAGTAGCATGGTCCTTTGAGGAATAGAAATCTGTGTAATCTCCTACAAAACAAAGTTGTGGTAATTCCGGGTGTTCAAACTGAATCAGAGTAGAACATTTTTCTAAAAGTTGAACACAAGTAAAGCCATTTTCTGTTTTAAATACAAGAGAGTATAACCATAACCTTGTTGGGTCCCAAGCCCTACTCCATAGAAGGCACGGTTTCCATACATTGCACTGATGATGATCATACAGCTGTACGCAGTTTGGAATAAATAACTGTATAATATTTGGCTATATATTTTCACTACACATCAACTGGATGTGCATCTGGCTGATGGGGTGTGCAGCAATGATTTCCATGGCTTTGCCAACTGTCCCGAAATGAGGAATAATCCTTTTATTTTTGGGATATGTGATGGAATAAATAATAGAGATACAGCCATTGCTCAGCAGACCGGTATATACACCCAAGTGCAGGTGCTGAAGGAACTGGTGGATAAAGCCAAAGCAGTCAAATGGAAGAATATGTTACAATTTGTCACTATGCCTGATGAAAGGACCCTTTGTTGTATAACATGCTGAACGATCGTCAATAAAGACGGTTCCTTTTTGCAGAGGATTAAAGAACTCCAGGCAAAAGTGTTCTTAACTCTTGCAGTGGGGCCACCCCTGCACTGCAAGGGTAAAGTGCTCGTTTTTGTCTTAGTGCTAAAAACAAAATAAAAGTTATACTCACCTGAACCGCAGAGCCGGCTCCCTGTTTCTCCAGTCACTGAATACCGTCTCCCCCTAAACTGCAGCCTAGGAATGTTCCTCAGCATCCTCATGTCCCTACACTGTGTATAGAACGTGATGATCAATTGGACCTTAGACCGCTGCAGCTGAGGGGGAGAGAGGCCCAGGGACTGGTCTAAGAGCAAAGCGGCTTGGAGGATCGGGTGAGTAAAACCTTTTTTTAACCTAGAAAAAACAAGCAGTTAACAAGCAGGGAGCCACACTGCAAGGGTTAATAAAAAATTACTGCCCAGACTTCTGCTTTAAGGTGCACTGGCAACATATTCTTTATGTTTATTTAGTTCATACCAAGTGTAACTTTGCAGAGAGATTGTATTACACCGCTTGGCCAAAAATAAAGGTCACCACTTGGGTTTCGGGCAGTGTTATGATCTGGGGTTGCTTCAGTTGGTCAGGTCTAGGTTCAGCAATGCTATGTCCCCAAAAATGAGGTCAGCTGCCTACCTGAATCAGGGATCCCAACCTAAAATAAGTCATTTCCGGGAGGCGCCCTTCTCATTTCAGGGAGGTGATGCTTCCTTTCCTATCTGCTGTTTTTTTAGTGTCCTGACAGTTGCTGCCATCAGGACAAAAAAAAACCGCATAGGAACTCATAGCTAGATTGCTACTGGCTATTTCAATTTGAAATTGCCAATAGCAATCTAGCTATGAGTTCCTATGCCATTTTTTTTTGACTGACGGCGACCAGAGCATAGAGCAGAGTAAAACCTTTCCGGTAGAAAATGTTTCTCTCTCGGGTGTCCAGGAGCCTTTATCTAGTAGCGGGAGACTCTCGGAGCATCTGGGAGAGTTGAGATGTCTGCTGAATATACTGAATGGCCAGGTTTTCCATCAATGGATTTTTTCTTCCCGATGGCACATTGGGCATATTCCAAGATGACAATGCCAGGATTCATCAGGCTCACATTGTCAAATTGTGAAAGAGGGGTTCAGGGAGCATGACACATCATTTCAACCATGGATTTGCCACCACGGAGTCCAGACCTTAACCCCATTGAGAATCTTTCTGGAGAAGATTCTGGACGGAAATAAATGTGACATTGTATAAGCTTATTGAAACAATTGCCACAATGAATGCAAGCCGTAATCAAAGCTAAAGGCGCTCCAATAAATATTAGAGTGTGTGACTTTTTTTTGGCCAGACAGTGTTTATTTCGAGTATAAAAGGCTGACAGCAGTTCAGAATAGGAACACATTTGCTATTTATACTCGGTATACATTGTAAGGACACTGACATTTTTTTTTTCAGAAACAGTGAATACTGGTAGCAGATAATGGCAATAGCCCATATTATTTCATTCATCTTGCCTCTAAAGTTATAATCTGTTCATCTCAAAATCCTTTACTACTTACTGGCCATACAATGTACTTTTCTTTCAGCCCCTCAGGCAGGACAGGACACATGCAAACATCATTTGACCACACTAATCTGATAAAGAGTTGATTTTATCTCCTTAGATGTCTATTTTTTGTATGTTTTGTATATATTCTTTGCAAATGAATAAAAAATAAAGTCAGCGTTACATACCAATATTTGCTGGAAGATGAAGTTTAGCCTTAGATTGTGGAACGAACGCTCTGAAATCAAATAACAACAATGAAATGGGGAATATAAGTATATTAATACAAAACAAAATGTAAACATTACACAGGCCCAAAGTACACAGAGTACAAATACAAGTCATGGTACACTTGTAGTGAACTAGAGACTTCACCTTGGTACACATTTCTACAGCAGCTTTGTTACACTATGGGGGGAAGTTATCATCAGGGGCGGAACTACCGCCAGTGCAGCCAGTGCAGCTGCACCGGGGCCTGAGTCTGGGGGGGGGGGGGGCCCCCAGCAGACCCAGGCAAGGTAGGACAAGAGATGGTGGGGGGGAGGCCGCCGTCCATCCAGCCGCACTTGCAAACGGCAGAACGGCAGTGGGATCGGAGTGAGGCAGGACAGCCTGCAAGCAAACGGTGAGGCAGCGCTGGGGCCTCGGTCGGGAGGACCCAAGCAGCAGCCATTACTATCCTGCATTTCTGTATAAAGTATTGCTGGAAGTTGTATGAATATATTTGCACCAGATTTATGATGCTAGTGAAATGTTGTTGATAAATGAGGTTTAACAGACTCCAGGAAAGAAGTAACTTGTAACTTCAGGCAAAAAGCTTAACTGTCGCTTCTTGAAGAAGTGGTCATAGGGACTTCTTAAGTTGTGATTGTTTTCTAAGAAGATGCTCCAGTTTCATACAGCCCAGAACAAGCTCAGATGAAAACACGTGCAAAAAAATGTGCAGTTGGAAAAGTAGTGTAAGCTCTGGTGAAAACAGGGGCACATGTTAAAAGACAGATTTGCACATAAAAAAATGATCTAAGAGGCTAAAACTGATGCAATTGCTTTGATTCCCCCAATGTACATACAATATAAAGAATCATATTGGTTTCTACCATGCTGCAACATAGCGACTTCCCTTCATCACCAAATAACTATGACGTACCTGTATACACATTGAGGTCTTTTCCAGCCAATTTAAATGTTTTTGTCACTTGGTTGGAAAAGAAGCCCGTGTACCTTTTTCGCTACAGGTATCAGGTTACAAGTGACAGAATGCTCAAATGTGATCAGTAGGCGTTGAAGACAATGGGATTCCTCTGAGCATTCTCGCACTTGTTTGAAGAGGGACTTATTTTCTGTGATCCTCGGCTTCATCTAGAGCTCTGTCGGAAGCAGGAGCCGAGGGCATGAAATTTCGTTCTGATAGGGCAGCAGCAAGATGCTACTCTTACCATTGCATCCTAATGACAAAATTACCCTTAGTATGTGCTACCACCCTTATATTTGTAGATCTATGTATGAAGTCATCTTCCTGATTTGCAATGTTTCACATTTGGTTCTAGAGCTGCAACAACTAATCAACTAAATTGATAATAATCGATGATGAGAATAGTTGGCAACTATTCTCATCATCGATTAGTTGGTGTGAGAGAGAGAGATTTTTTTTTCCATATTAATTTTTTATTGGTTTCGTCAGAAAAGACAACTCAGTACAACATAATACACGGTGCTTAGATCGAGGTCTTGACAATAGGGCAAATTACTACAGAGGTTACATAAAAGCAGTGTTTCCACAAGTGGATTTCTACAAGTTCCAAACATGGAGTTCTGTTGAAGCCGCAAACGGGAGAGGAAGTCAATCCATGAGGAAAAAATAGTGCTTACAGATTAAATGGTAGTGCAAAATACAGTCATATTATTCGGTAACCTGATGATACCCAACGTGGGTAAAAGACCTAGCAACCACTTTGCTCAGGTATTGGCACCGAGAGAGAGATTTTTTTATACAACCATTCGATTAGTTGAAAAAAATTATCGGGTAACTAATCGATTATGAAAATCATCGTTAGCTGCAGCCCTATTTGGTTCACACCTGTGCAGTGTGTTTCAGGTGCCTTTTACTTCCTTTTTACATGTGTTACCATTGAACTCTATATAACCTGTAGCACAGTGGTGTAGTGGTTAGCACTTCTACCTTGCAGCACTGGGGGCCCTGGTTCAAGTTCTGGTCAGGACACTGTTTGCATGTTCTCCCTGTGCTTGTGTGGAGTTTCCTTCAACACACTCCAAAGACATGCTGGAAGGCTAACTGGCTCCTATGTAAATCAGCCATGTGTGTGTAATGGGGACCTTAGACTGTAAGCTGCTTGAGGGCAGGGACTGATGTAAAGTGCTACGTAAATTGTTAGCGCTATATAAATATCTATAATAAGTAAATACATTTTGATCAAACTGCACAGGCGTGGGGCCTCATGTTTTTGCTGCAGCCCCAAACATACAACCAGTGAGAAATAAAAACTATTTTTCCACTTCTATTTTTTTGGCAAAATCGGAAGCGGGTCTATGAATCAGATTGAACTTATGCTGACATTGTTCTAGAATAAAGACAGTAGTCTAATCATAAGTCCGATCAGAGTTGTGATTCATATTGGATTTTACAGTGAAGAAAAAAGGCAAGGAGGAGGCTGTCAGGAAAGTAATTGAGGTGACTGACCCCAAGTAAACAAAGGTCCTCTGTGCCCGCTAGTACATTGTACAAACAGATGCAGCATACCGGGGCTCAGTTTAAACAGGACTTAGCCCTCTCACCTGGCACGCAGCTCCTTGTTGTCCCTGAGTGTGGGTTCAGATGCTGCCAGTAGCTTTTGAAGAACTTGACGGGCTTCCTTCCATGCTTTGTGCCCAAGAGCCATAAAATTATTTAGAGTTGGCTATAAAAAAGCAACATTTCTTTAAAATAGGACACACTACAAGTCTCATGAATATACATTGTGGGAATTCATCAAAACTGGAGCAGACAAAATCTGGAGCAGCTGTGCATGACAACCAATCAGCTTCAGTTTGTTCAGTTAAGATTTGAAAATGAAAGAGAAAAGCTGATTGGCTGGCATGCACAGCTGCTCCAGATTTTGTCTGCTCCAGTTTTGATAAATTCCCTTCATTATGTCTTGCTAGCATCCTCGAAAGAAGCAAGTTCACATGCAAGCATGATCATTATGACAAATCACTGGGCTCATAGCAAAGTTCTGATGTAGGACTTTCTCCTCTCTTTGCTATGGAATACCATTGGCTCAATTGGCACTTTGGTCCCTTCATAAAATATCTCTATTTCAACTCTTTTCCATTTGTGGTCAGTTAAGATATGCCCCTTTATTGGTTCACAGTTGGCATAGGAATTGAAACGCACACACCATTTAAAATAGACAAGACACCAATAGTTGACCCATTAGGGTCAAGGAACATTCAGGTAGAGTAGCCAGAGGCTAGTAGACGCTACTCTACTTGAATGTCTCCTGACCCTAATGGAATAAAGTTGTATCTGGACTATTTTAATTTGTGTGGTGCTTCAATTTCTACATCTACTGTATTCACTGTCAAGCCAAGGATACTGTGGAGATCCTTTGGATTGTGGAAGCTGCCCACCCGTCAGCCAGATCACCCATATTCACATCACCTAACTACTGTTGGATGAGAAACACCAAGAGAATAACTACATCAGTCCAGCACTTTCTTTCCACATTTTCAAATATCCTCATATTAGTTGTCAGTGGTGAAGCAATGTGTCACCATCAAAAACTGGCCACACACCAGCAAGACTGTGCCTAAATATGATCTGTAACTGTTCAAATCTGAGAAAAATCTACCTGGTGTGGTCAGTATTACCGCATGACATTTTCTCCATTGTTTCCTGGCTAATTAAGCCCCAACACTCATCATGGGTGGTCCCAGCTCAAAGACAACACAAGTTTTTATACTGTACCTCATTAAATACAGCCTGGTGTGCTGACATGAAAGGCCCATTGAAAAGATGTCTGATGACACTAAGATCTAGGACTTGGTCCCCAATGGCCACTCCTATCCGATGCCGCGGCTGTAGGAAAGTAAAAGTAAAATTTTATTAAATTTGTTATTCATTTTAAACTTTTTCCTTTCCTTCTAGTGAATACATGTAACCTTTTGTTTGATTATTCCACCTTCATAACCTTCAATTCACCTTCACAACTTTAATTTCACCTTCATAACCTTAAGTTCACCTTCACAACCTTAAGTTCACCTTCACAACCTTAAGTTCACCTTCACAACCTTCAATTCACCTCCATAACCCTCATTTCACTTTCATGACCTTCATTTCACAACCTTCATAAACTTCAATTTACCTTCATAACCCTCATTTCACCTTCATGACCTTCATTTCACCTTCAAACCCTTCTACTTTTGCCCCAGGTTTTACAAGTGCTATAGACTATTTTTCTTTCAATATGTTTTTTTTAAGGAACAAAGTCGTAACATTGTTGCACAGTGAGGCCCAATGACCAGGGCACTTAATAAACATGGTTGGGCAAGGGAAAACATGCTATGAACAATGAATAGCTATTGGGGTATAGTATCCAAATATTCAGGGATCTGAGGGAGCCGGTATGGGCGCACAACAAAAACTCATGAGCAGATGTAGCCCGGGGGAGTGCACACAAGAGGCAAGCCAAACGTACATCCACACCAAACAATCTGGATGAAGGACTACCTACTGCTGGCTATAGTATTTAGCTGTTGAATACCTGAGCGGTGCCTGCACCTGCTGGCTACAGACACTGTTCGGCTGATAATTTTCCACCTTGCTCCCTCCATAAAAGTCGATTCAAAAATATAAACTTTTGCCGAAACTGGTAGTGCCGGCAGGGCGACCCATGGATCACATTTCAGCTATTTCAGCAGGAATTGGTGAAAATTTGAGCTGTGGGTCACCAGCTTTAGTTATAAAGGGATGCACCGATATATCGGCCACCAAAACATATCGGCCCGAAAATGGCACTTTTGGCAAAATGGAGGAGAGCGCTGTGAACGGCCGGTGTCTCTGCCTCCCACACCGCTCAGCCTCCTGTCACAGATCAAGAGAGCAGCCGTGTGGGCGGACACAGCCAGTGCTGTCACAGGAGGCAGGCCTGCGGTGCAGGGGAGGAGTCAGCTGTCAGATCGAGCTATGCTCCCCGCACTGCTCACTCAGCCTCTTGTGACAGCTGTCAGGAAGGAGAGCGAATACAAACACTCAGTGATTGCTGAGTGTTTGTGCATAATTGAGGACAGAGTATGTTTACTGTGTCCCCATTTATGAATGAATGGAAAGTGATCTACATCACCTCCTGTTCATTCATGATTGTGGACATGGTAAACATACTATATCCACACGTTATGAATGAACAGGAACACTCACAGGGTTATGCACAAAAGGGTGAAGAGTTTGGAGAAGGCAGGAGAAGTGAACAATCTAGGACAACATAGCTGATTTGGAAAAATTATCCAATGCAGCTCACTTTCCAGTTCAGCTATGTTGTCCTAGATCGTTCCCCTCTCCTGCCTTCTCCAAACTCTTCACCCTTTTGTGAATAACCCTGTCACTATAGAGGCTTCCTGTTCATTTATAACAGGTGATGCAGAAAAATAGATCAGTTTAGAAAAGAAACATTTTCGGTTTTGGCCCGACATTTTGTTTTCATTTCGGTTTCGTTTTTAAAATGTTCATTTCGGTGCACCTCTAGTTATAATGCAATTATTTACACAGGTTATGTTTATAGATCTCTCTAATCTATCTATCTATCTATCTATCTATCTATCTATCTATCTATCTATCTATCTATCTATCTATCTATTTATCTATCTATCTAATCTATCTATCTATCCATCTATTGATTAAACCATCTATCTATCTATCTATCTATCTATCTATCTATCTATCTATCTATCTATCTATCTATCATCTATCTATCTATCTCTCTAATATCCTCAATTTATCATAAATGTAATTAGCATATTTAATTAAAATTGATGGACAAATGTATCTTTTTTTCAATTTAACTAGATAACTAATTTGCACTGGTGCTGACAACAAAACAGAAAAGTGTAATACAAGCACAGCTGTTAGAAATGGCATATGTTTTATCTTTCGAGTAAAATAAGGAATCTGTTTTTTGTGGGCAATTCTCCTTCCAGTGTTCATCAATCAACTCCGCTCTGTTTAGAATGTGTTTTCTATAACACAGCTGTCGTTACCATGCACATTATTCTGGTTAATCAGTTTTATCTTAATTTTCAATTGTTTATTAAGGTACTGAGAATTTTTAAATACAAAGGTCAACTGGTTGGTTCACACACTGTCAGCCATTGATTATGTGACAAATGTGCACTGTAAATGCAGCTGATTAGAAACCTTATTTTATTTTATTTTAATTAGTGGCACAATCTGCATCTATATGGTGTCCATGTGTCCAATATTGGATATGTGGCCAGCTTGTGTCAGTTTCCGTGAGATTACTGGTAGTGGAGCGCCCTCTAGTGCTGAAATATAAACACTGATTGTGTGCCGTTCATTTCTACTGTCACTATCCCAGCCCATCCATAACTATGATAACCGCAACACTTTCTGGGGTTCTATAGCATCAGTACAGAGACATCGGAAAGCTCATATTTAGAGACAGAAGTCAATATCGGTTAGGCATAACCTCATATTGATTGATTATATTTTTCTCTTGAAATGCCATAAGGGAACACCTTCTGTCAAAATGTAAAATGAAATTGGAAATGCATGCAGCAAACACAGCTTCTTCTTCACAGCTTCAGGATTTCATGCAGAATTTGCTGATATATGTCAATGCAGCCTACACCATTCTGTATGTAATCTGGTGATCGGGGAACACCTTTCACTTATCAGTCTGTAATGTGGGGGAGAACAGGCTCATTGTTGTCTATAAGACACAAAAAGCATGATGTATCAAACGTTAGAACTAAGAGGATTCTCACAGCTATCATCCTTTAACTTCCCTTGGAAAGATGAATCTGAATGGTGGTGCAGCACAGGCTTCAGGAAGCAGACTCATTGACTACACATGTGAGGAGCTCTCTGGAATCTGGTGTTGAGTACACATAGTTCAGATCAGGGTACACCGGTTGGACTTTCTGACTTTATCATAGATGTAGTTTTTCTGGATAGCGTTATGTTTCACTTGTTCTTTGAAATGTCTTATTAAATCAACTCTGTCAGCCACTTCCAAATCCAAGCTGAACATCCCCTACAATATAGTAGGGAATATCCCCTACAAAATGTATCAGTACTCGTACTTGGAAAAATGGTATCGTGCATCCCTTATATATAGTGGCGTAACAACCGGGGGGGCGGCCGGTGTGCTGGCCCCGGGCGAAAAGATGAAGGGGGCGCCGGCCGAAAGTGCCCTTTTCCTGCCGTTTTGTCCGTGCAGCCGTGATTTCTTTCATCCCCGCTGGGCGCTGCTCTTTGTCCCAGCAGGGAGGAGAGAAAGTGACAGCCAGCCGAGCGCTGCGGGAGGAGACCGCCGTGATCGGCCGGTGTCTCTCCTCCCACAGCGCTCAGGCGCCTATCACAGTGCGGCAGAGCGGTGTGGGGGTGGAGACAGCGCTGTCACAGGAGGCTGGGCTCTTCCCTCGCACCGCTCACTCAGCCTCCTGTGACAGTGTGTGTCAGAGAGGAGAGCAGGCTACATACACTTAGGGATCAGTGATCGCTGAGTGTTTGTAGATAATTGAGGATATGGTATGGTTACTATATCCTCAATTATGAATGAATGGGAGTGATCTGTATCCCCACCTGTTCATTCATAATTGTAGTTATAGTAAACATACTATATTATCAATGAACAGAAACACTCAGTATAAAGGATTCCTGTTCATTGATAACAGGGGACACAGAAAAAGAGATTGAGGACTCTGTGTTCTCAATCTCTTTTTCTATTTTAAAAGGGAAATATCAGGGGTCTGTTTAGACCCCTAATATTTCCCCAAAGCCCCTAAAAGTAAAGTAAAAAATAAAAATATTTAATAAAAAAATTAATTGATAAATATTTA